AGTAGTGTATTTTAGCTCGTGAGTTCTGCATGCATGTCTTTGTATGTTGATCTGGGTGTGTGTGCATAAACTTTCTGTGTACTCATGGATGTGCCTGGATGTGTGTCTGTATGTTGAGTGAACCCTTGATACCTGTGATCATGTTTCTTTTAGGGTCAGACCTGCTGGGGTAAGGTCTTGGGAGCTGGGGGAGGAGAGACCCCAAGCCTTCTCTCTTCTTTCCCCACCCCAAGGCACCCCATCTCTGGGCAGGCTGACTGTGGGATTGGGCACTGGTCCCCAGGTGATGAGCTGATGGTAGCCTCCTGGCAGTCCAGAGTCTGGTCCCAATCCCCCACGAGGGGGCAAGGGAAGGTGCCTACCTGGTCAGGGGGCCCACCATTAGACTCAGAACTTGGGAGGGAGCTCATGGGCTGTGCTTTGAGGGGGCAGGGAAGTCCCATTGCGTATCTTCTTAGCAGCCACCCAAACTCTGACCTCCGCCTGATTCTCTCCACAGGGCAGGGTGAAACTGCCAAGCCACTCAGATGTAAGACCGGCCTCTCACTGTCTGTCTGGCTCCTATCCCCCACCCCACTGCCCCTGCACCCCACCCCGTGCCTCTTTCCACCTCTGTGATCCGTGCCGTCCGGGGGGTGTACTGTGACCCTGTCTGTCGGTCTATTCTTCCTCTGTCTGTCTGGCTTGCTTGTGAGGGGTGGTGGGAGGAGGGTGGCAGGTGGGGAGGTGGGTATGGCAGGGGACACCAAGGCCCAAACAGTTGGGCTCCTGAGTACCTGTGCCTCATGACAGCCTCGGGAAATTACAGCAAGGAATAAGAATAGCAACAAACAAGAAGATAATAATAATAACAATAGTAGTGGCAGGGTGACTAGATCCTACTGGAAAACCATCAACAGGGCAGTAAATGCCCCCCCACACCCCACCTAGCCCTGCCCAGGACCCCAGACCACCCCAGGACCCAGTCATTCAGGACACATAACCTCACTGATAGCTACCCCCACCCCCACCCCCATCCCCTAAGCTAGTGTGGGTGCTCCTGCTAGCCAGGAGAGGAAACTGAGACCAAGAAAGGGCTGGGAACATGCCTCAGGTTACCCAGCATAGTGATGGAGGAGGCAGGACATGTGGCTTCCAGGCCAGCACCCCATCTCCCCCAGCACTGCCCATGACCTTAAAACCAAGTGATGATAACTACCAATATTGAACAAAGACATGATTAGTCCCAGCTAAGCCACAAATTGGATAAGATTTCCCATCTCAAGATGGGAATACTGAGGCTCAGAGAGGTTAAATGACTTGCCCAGGGCCACACAGCAGAGCTGGGATTTGAACCCAGGCCCATCCGGTTCATCAAAGCCATAACCCGGATGGCATCTAGCTGATGTCTGTTTGGGGGAGGAGTAGAGGATGGGTACTGAGGTGTGTGTTGAGGGGGAGGATTCTTCCTTTAAAAGATCAGATGAAAAGCCCCCCTCCCCAGATTACTCCCACAGAGGGACTGCGCCTGCGATGGCTGGTGGGTTTCACCGGAGCCCATCCCACAGTTTTCTCAGGGCTCCTAGACTGGGTACTGGCAAGCCCCGCCCATATCCACAAACACCATCTTGGGCTCCCCCAACCTACTGCCCCTCCCAGCCTGCTCCCTGTTTGTTTTCTTCTCTGTCCCACAACCTGGGGTCGTGGTGGAGGTGGGAGGATGGGTAGCACCCCACAGGACTGGGATTTCTGGGGAAAATGTCAGCACTTCTTGGAGGGCTCCAGGCTGCTGTCCCCGGGACACAACCATTGCCCTACCCAGAGCCTTTGGACAAGAACTAAGATGGCATCTGGGGCTGGGGTGTCAGTGGGAGATTGGTCACTGGGCAGGAGTACCCCCACTCTTACCCAGGTTATGTCTGTTGTCACCTGCAGGGAACCCAGATGATCTTCAATGCAGCCAAGGAGCTGGGTCAGCTGTCTAAACTCAAGGTGAGGCCAGGGGTGGGGGCAGGAGATTGGTGTGGGGGTGGGGGCTCCTAAGGAAGAGGCCCCAGAATAGTGACACACTTTGCATGCTCAAAGGACAGAAACCTACTCAGACAGGTTTAAGTATAATTTATTCATTCCAGTATATTGGAAAGATGTGCAAGGTTCAGCTTCAAAGACTGCTTGATCAAGAGTACAAATAATTTATTCAACAAATATTTATTGAGCACCTGCCAGTCACATGTTAGGACACAAAGATGAAAAGACAGACTCACTATCCCAACTCATTGGATTTAGCAAGGGTGAGACCCCTAGAAAGGCAGATCCCCAAGGTGGAGTTTGCTCTGCCCACCTGGCCCCTCTTTCCATTCATCCAGGACCACATGGTACGAGAAGAAGCCAAGAGCTTGACTCCGAAGCAGTGCGCAGTTGTTGAGCTGGCGCTGGACACTATCAAGGTAAGAGGCCCCATCCCTATCCATCCCAGGTGGGACAGGCAGAGGGTGTGGCTGGTATGAAGTGAACCTAAGCTCCAGCCCAGCTTAATTCATTCAGTTCATAAACACTCCCTGATGACCCTTCTATGTCAGTTTCAGGCTAGCTGATTGTAGCCTCCTGAGGAACCCCAGGCTGGATGTCAGCTGGAGGCAGACATCCCTAGCCCTGTAGGGTCAGGATAGGGTGGAGGGAAGGATGGGAGAGCTCAGGGACTGGGCAGAAAGGGTTTTCTGGAAGAAAACTTGTGGGAGGTGGCATTTAAGGAATGTATGGAAATTCACAAGGAAAGCAAACAGAGCATTCTAGGCAGGCAACCAGCCCATGCAAGAACAGGGAAACATGAACAGGCTGTGGTCTCCATGATATAAAAAGTGTTAAAACTATCCTGAAGGAAATGTTTTGCTGAGATGGAGAAATACAGCAAAATAGGGATGGCAACATATTAAGGAGGGGACATTAAGGAAAACTTGAAACCTTGATTAGAGAAAGACAGGGAGCCAGCCATGGCAAAATAGGGACTGAGGGTGGAGGGACTAGCAGGACCTGAGTGTTCTGAAGACCCCCCTGTCATCCAGCACATCACAGAAGAGGGCAGCGGAGTGGGGGAGGGCAGTGTTGTAGCTGTCCAGCCGGGTGTGCAACAACCTTACCTCTCCCCAACCCTATTCCTCACAGCAATACTTCCATGCGGGTGGCGTGGGCCTCAAGAAAACCTTCCTAGAGAAGAGTCCAGACCTGCAGTCCCTGCGCTACGCCCTGTCCCTCTATACGCAGGCCACTGACCTGCTCATCAAGACATTCGTACAGACTCAGTCGGCCCAGGGTAAGGAGCCACTGGTTAGCAGGGATGACAATCCTCGCACACAGGGGCAGCCCAGCCCCAAGCCGGTGCCACAGTCTTTGACTTTCTCTGGTCGTGGGTCCAGGGCAGAATTGACAGCTCATGGGCGCACCTGAGCTCCATGATATCAAAGGGCCGATGAGTGATCTACAGCTCTTGGGGAGAGATCTATGACGTCATTGGGCCAGGAGGGGTTGACATCTGGGAAAATCCATGGCGTCATGGAGTCAGGATGTGATCAAAAGCTGTGGGGCGGGACCTCTGACTGCAAGGACCAGGGAGTGGTCCTTGGGGCGGGACCTTGAGCTCCTAGGGGCGGGGCCTCGATTCCGTGATTCCGGGGAGCGGTTGACAGCTCGAGAGCAAGAAGTGAGGCTGTTGTGATTCAGGAGTGATTGACAGCTCTGGTGTGGGCGGGGTCTGTGACGTCATGCAGTCAAGGAATGATTGGCAGCTCCAGGGGAGGGACCTTTGGAGGAAAGGTTGAAGGTCCCTGGGGTCCTTGGGGTTGAAGGTCCCTCTGCACTGTCAGGGGCTAAGGAATGACAGCCCCGGGGATGGGAGGAACCCTGACCTGGAGGGGGCGGACGGAGAGGGAGTTGAGTTCCCATTTCTCAAATTCTCTCTTTCTCTCTCTCTTCTCTTATCTCTGTCTCCTGTCGCTCTCTGAGTTCACACACAGCAGCTGGGGCTGGGGGGCAGGACTCGAGGGTCCTAGTTCCCCTCCCTGGGGACCCCCATTTTCAAAACTGGCCCTAAGAGTGCAGACAAGGGAGAGAAGTTTGGCTGTTGACCCAGGCTTAGTTCCGGCATTGGAAGAGGAGGCAGGGGTGAGGGGAGAAAACCTTGCGGCCACCAGCGGCCCCCTTCCCCCACCCCCCAGTCAGCCCAGGGCCTAGGGCCCTCCCTGGGCGTCGGGCCTCCGCGTTCAGCTTCGTGCCCAGCCCACGCTGCTGCTTTTAGTGTCCCTGGTGTCCCCCCCGGAGCGGGAGACTGTCTGTCTGTCCGTCTGCAGCTGACGTTTCTCTCTCTCTTCTTTCTCCTCCCTCTCACTCGCCGCCCCCTCTCCGCGCCTACCCTGCTCCCTGCCACGCACACTCGCCCTCCATCCTCGCCTTTCGCTCGCTCGTCTCTCCCCCCCACCCTTCCCCTCCCTCCTTTCTCCACCTCCCCCTTGTGATTAGTCCATGGTGGAAAAGGGACTAGGTTTACCCTTAGTGAAGACATTTATCCTGAGAAGGGTACGTGTGCTTCCGCCGCCGCCCGCCCGCGCCCGCGCCCGGTCGCCCGGTCGCCGTCGCGCCCCTCCCGGCCCCGGCCGTACGGTAAACGGTACCCGGTTCCGTT